TATATATACCTGCAGTCATACCCACCTATATTTATAATATCCTATTTAATACACTCAAATGGACACAAATAAAGTGACAWAAATCCAATTTTGAGAATGGGATGATGATATAGTACCTATAATTATTAGGGTCTGTGGGTGAAATTTATAGCCTTTGACCGATTCTGTCTTTAATTATGCATAAATATGTCGTATAAAATCATTTTGCTTACAAAGCTGCAGTCCGGATTATTGTGTTATATCTATATTTAACCCGCGCGTATTATTGTATGAAAATCGATTTGGATTTCAAATAAGGTATTTACAGTAGGCATTTTATATCTATAGGTTCACTAGGTTCACGACGACTTGATCATAATAGTATAGGTACCTAGTGTAAATATGAGTATTTAATGCGTATATTATGACGAGACAAACGAATAGAAAMAAAACGGTGAAAAAATTCACCGACAAGCATATTATTTTTTTGTTTTGGTTTTAACAATAAAACAATAATAATAGTAGGAATAATAATAAAATATAGGTGTACCTGATGAGCTTGTAGTACCGCCGTCCACGATGTCYAAATAATGAGGTTTGCATAGAACACGACCTTCGTGCAGWGCAAACTCTTCACCCGTGTTTAATTGTCGATCGCAGGCGTCGCACCGGAAACACGCCAAATGGTAAACGTGATCCCTGGCCTTTCTCACCCAATGCGAAGCGGAAATGCCTTTCGAACACTTTGAACACACGGTACCGAAACTCCTGGAACACAAACACCGACAAATTAAAATCAGTTGCACTGTACGGAAACAAGTATATTATTATATGACATAAACGTCCAAAAGTGTAAAAATTACATATATTATTATCATCATTCGCGTCAAAATCTGTAGGACATAATAATATTATAATTGGCGCCGATATAAAATAATACCCAAGACGGATGTATTTGATCAAAATAAATCGATTAAAATATAGGTAATCACGATATTGCGTGTATATATAAGCTTTTTGCTAGTATAAACGTGTAACATATTGCGTATAYATTTAAGTGCACTGCATAAATTGACCTATAACCTAATATTCGGACACACTGTAAATTTTCACCCCAACACGCACAACCGCGTCATCCTAGTTTCCCGTGAATTGCAGAACACATACTATAATAATATAGTAACGCGTAATCATTAATCGTATAAATCGACGTCCAGCCATGGCCGACGTGGACGTGCCGTGCTTTGAACCGTATATACATAAATTATATTATGTACACACAATACGTGTCAATATATTAAACATGTATGTAGGTACATATACATAATTTGACGTTTCCGCGTCAACTGCATCGGTGTAGTTAATTGCACAAAGGCCATATAATCCGCTCGTTATATACGTACGCGTATACCTATATATTATTCAACGACGATTTTACCCGTTTAACCGAACAAACATTTTGCAAATGTCATAAAGGTCGGCAGCGGCCCGGATGTGAATGTCGAACGCATCGTATAATAATAATAATGATACGTATAGATAATAGGTCGGTACTCGAAATTTCCGTCGGGTAGAATATATAGAATAATATGACATTATACATAAGCTCAACATAGTATAGAATATAGTRTTTACGTGTGTGGTTCGTCAGTATACTGTGATATAACACATTATTATAACATTCGACATGAGTGATATCTATCGAAGATCGCTGTAGAATGCCTAACTCGCWCGTGGCGTAAAMAATAATTATTTAAATAGACGAACGAAATAAMAAATAAAAAATGCCTTGTATAAAATAGTACACTAGGTAGTGTAATATCTCCCGTTGTGTCACCTGTTTGTCTAGGACAATTTTATGGGCCAGTAGCATAGACATATTATATCTCCAAATAAAAATATCTCATAAAAAAAAAAAAAACGACTTTCCAAAACAATGCATAGAATAAAAGAAGGCATTTAACTTAAAACAATAGGTTAGGTTAAAACAATTATACTCTAAATAGGTAGATATACGAATTAACTCCAAAAAACGTGTGACATAAACGGTGTAGATACCTACTATAGAGTTGCATTAATATAATATATTTTATATATTGACTTATTGTCAACCGACCATATCGTTTTTAAGCTATTATATTACTATTTTTCTGGTATAAAATAATATATTTTTTCTATTCCGAATCATATTTGACAAAATTTTATCCTTGGCGTATAGTATTGGGCGTAACCGGAAGAGGCGAGTGACAATACGTTATATATGTAYATAGGATTGCAATGAAAAAAAAAAACTTAAAAGTGAAAAAAACAAKTTGTAATTTTTGTCACTGTTTTAAAATATTATTCCTTTTTAAGAATATTATATTATTCTAATAATAATTATCCCTTATAAATATATGCAAAACAAAAGTCACGAATTGCATAAATTATATTATAATATACCTTTAGGAACTATATAGTACTATACCTATATAAAATACTATGACCATCATGGTTCGTGATGATATATTAMGTGAATTAAACATTATTAGTACAATCATCGATGATAATTCTTAATTTGTGTGATTGGAAAAAATGGTAAGTTTAGGATCACCAATTGTGAATATTGTGCATCGCCGTGTTTAAAAATTATAAAAATTGTTATTTGTTCACCCAAAGTATTTAGTTTTAGTTTATTTTATATGCACTATAACACATATTATATGGTATAGTCAGGAACAATTAGATTTTTACTTTGAAATTTAAAATATAATATATTAATACCTATATTATAGTGAATATTACTTATTATAATATACAGACTAACCTACGCGCAGTAAATATAATGACCCGTATATTATGGCCTCGAATTCTCGATGAAAATAAACAGAAGCGATAGAGTCGTAGTAAAAGCTTATATGTATACATTCATACAGACAAAGGGAAATCTTTTTGAATAAAGTTTTTTTTAGAAGGAAAAATAAGAGTTTTATTTTTTGCGTTCGGGGAATGTTTATATTGTCCTCGTATTATGCAAATAACGGAAGGAAACAAACCTTGGGATTACAACAAAAATAAAAAAAACGAGAGATAGATAGAGAGAGACAGAGTGACTGAAAATGAGTGGTAGAGAGAGAATTCGGTGCGGATGGTAAAAAGACCGGGCGTGTATATGAGGGTT